CATCTGTCAATCTCATGCTCCATTCTTCCCTCACTCGTGAACAAAACCCGGAGATACTTGAACTCCTCCACTTGAGGCAGAACCTCACCCTCGACCTGAAGAGAGCAATCCACCCTTTCCGTTTGAGGACCATGGCCTCGGATTTGGAGGTGCTGATTCTCATCCCAGCTGCTTCACACTCGGCTGCGAACCGCTCCAGTTAGAGCTTGAGATCACGGCACGATGACACCAACAGGACCACATCATTTGCAAAGAGCAGAGATGAAATCCTGAGGCTATCGAACCGGAAACCCTCCGCCAGCTGGCTGCACCGAGAAATTTTGTCCATAAAAGTTATGAACAGAATCTGTGACAACGGGCAGCCCTGGCGGAGTCCAACTCCCACCCTGAAGTGGTCCGACTTACTGCCAGCAATGTGAACCAAACTCTCGCACCGCTTGTATAGGGACTGAACAGCCCATAACAACAGGTCTCCAATCCCATACTCACGGAGCACCTCCCACAGGGTACCCCGAGGAACACAGACAAATGCCTTCTCCAAGTCCACAAAACGCATATAGACTGGATGGGCAAACTCCCATGACCCCTCAAGGACCCTAGTGAGGGTAAAGAGCTGATCCAGTGTTCCACGGCCAGGACGGAACCCACATTCTTCCTCCTGGATCTGAGGTTCGACCAACGATCGGACTCGCTTTTCCAGTACCCCTGAATAGACCTTACCAGGGAGGCTAAGGAGAGTGATGCCCCTATAATTGGAGCACACCTTCCGGTCCCCCTTTTTCAAGAGGGAAACCACCACCCCAGTCTGCCAGTCCAGTGGCACTACCCCTGATGGAGTCCCAAGCTGGCGCACCTTCCAGCACCCCTGCCAAGGATTACAAGAAGGACGAATACTCTGAACTGCAGTTTGGCACTTAGGCACAAACAACACTCAGAGCCCGTCCCCCCACCCGATGGTGAAGGGAAGCCACCCTCTCATCTATCTGGGAAAACTCCAACACACAGGCACCAAGTCGGGGGGCTACAAGTAGACCCACACCAGCTTGACGCCTCTCACCATGGGCAACTCCAGAGTGGAATAAGGTCCAACCCCTCTCAAGGAGATCAGTTCCAGAGCCCATGCTGTGCGTCGAGGTGAGCCCAACTGTATGTAGTCGGTATCTCTCAAACTCACGCACAAGCTCAGGCTCCTTCCCTGCCAGACAGGTTACATATATGTATATATGAGGTTACATATCTATATCTATATATATATATATCTATATACAGGTCCTTCTAAAAAAATTAGCATATTGTGATAAAGGTCATTATTTTCCATAATGTAATGATAAAAATGAAACTTTCATATATTTCAGATTCATTGCACACCAACTGAAATATTTCAGGTCTTTAATTGTTTTAATACTGATGATTATGGCATACAGCTCATCCATCCATCCATCCATCCATTATCTTTACCCATCCATCCATCCATCCATCCATTTTCTGTACCCGCTTATTCCATTTTGGGTCACGGGGGTCGCTGGTGCCCATGTCCAGCAATCACTGTGTGAGGGGCGGGGTACACCCTGGACAGGTCGCAAGTCCATCACAGGGCCACATAGAGACAAACGAGACAAACAACCATTCACTCTCTCACTCACACCTAGGGACAATTTCAGAGTTACCAATCAGCCTAAAACGCATGTTTTTGGTCTGTGGGAGGAAACCGGAGTACCCGGAGAAAACCCACACATGCGCGGAGAAAACATGCAAACTCCACCCAGAAGGCCCCTGGACCGGGGCTTGAACCAGGGACCTGTTCGCTGAGAGGCAGCAGCTCTACCAGTTGCGCCACCGTGCTGCCTGCATACGGCTCATGAAAACCCAAAATACCTGTCCCAAAAAATTAGCATATTTCATCCCACCAATGAAAGACAAGTGTTTTTAATACAAAAAACGCCAACCTTCAAATAATCATGTTCAGTTATGCACTCAATACTTGGTCGGGAATCCTTTTGCATGAATGACTGCTTCAATGTGGCGTGGCATGGAGGCAATCTGCCTGTGGCACTGCTGAGGTGTTATGGAGGCCCAAGATGCTTCGATAGCGGCCTTAAGCTCATCCAGAGTGTTGGGTCTTGCATCTCTCAACTTTCTCTTGACAATATCCCACAGGTTCTCTATGGGGTTCAGGTCAGGAGAGTTGGCAGGCCAATTGAGCACAGTAATACCATGTTCAGTAAACCATTTACCAGTGGTTTTGGCACTGTGAGCAGGTGCCAGGTCATGCTAAAAAATGAAATCTTCATCTCCATAAAGCTTTTCAGCAGATGGAAGCATGAAGTGCTCCAAAATCTGCTAGCTAGCTGCATTGACCCTGCCCTTGATAAAACACAGTGGACCAACACCAGCAGCTGACATGACACCCCAGTGACTGTGGAAACTTGACACTGGACCTCAAGCAATGTGAATTCTGTGTGTCCTCTCTTCCTCCAGACTCTGGGACCTTGATTTCCAAAGCAAATGCAAAATTTACTGTAATCAGAGAACATAACTTTGGACCACTCAGCAGCAGTCCCAGGTCAGGCGCTTCTGACGCAGTCTCTTGTTCATGAGTGGCTTGACCTGGGTAATGCGGCACCTGTAGCCCATTTCCTGCACACGCCTGTGCACGGTGGCTCTGGATGTTTCTACTCAAGACTCAGTCCACAGCTTCCGCAGGTCCCCCAAGGTCTGGAATCGGCCCTTCTCCACAATCCTCCTCAGGGTCCGGTCACCTCTTCTCGTTGTGCAGCGTTTTCTGCCACACTTTTCCCTTCCCACAGACTTCCCACTGAGGTGCCTTGATACAGCACTCTGGGAACAGCCTATTCGTTCAGCAATTTCTTTCTGTGTCTTACCCTCTTGCTTGAGGGTGTCAATGATGGCCTTCTGGACAGCAGTCAGGTCGGCAGTCTTACCCATGATTGCGGTTTTGAGTAATGAACAAGG